TCTGTCTGAAAAATCGCTATCCCTTAAAGTGAGGCATTTTCGTGCAATAGCTCGTGCTGGTTACCGTAATCCCAATTTTGCACAGACTCCTTCCGAGCAGCGGAGTGTTACGACCTACGCTTCCACGCCCTTCATTTTCTTCAGTCCGAACATGAGCCACCTTACGCTATTTCGCAAAATACCCAAAATTCGACCACCCAATAGCCGTCCAGCGAAAAGGGAGAATATTTAACAGCGCGTTTAGGACGACAAAAATCAAAAGCGAAAAAAAACCTACTAACTCCTGAATACGACCTTTCCCATGGACCAAGAGATGACCACCTTTCCAAAAACTACAGCATGACTCCCTTGGCAAGCGTCCCTCAACCATTATGTGCCCTCACTGGACGGTATTTCGTCCAGGGATGTGCGAAGGAATTACATTGAGCCAGCGGTAAGTACTACTGCCCGGTAAAGTAGCATGGAGTGGGCGGTCCATCACTTTTACGTGAAAACGGTTCAAAAATGGGTGCAACTGTAGTTGGCGGGGGCGCGAAGTGCTTCCTTACCACTTATGCTCAGACAGCATTCAGACTTCGCGATCATGCGCGTCGACGCGCACAGTTGCACACCAATACCATAGAAGGAACTGGAACGCAGCCGCAGACGACAATCGATCGGCGCAAGCCGCCTGTGTTTTGAGAGAGTGTAGGAGAATAGAAGAGTATGCATTACCCAATCACGCAATCTGGTATCGATGGGCACTGGCTGCTAGTGCTTTGGGAGTGTATAGAAGAACAGGAATATATCAGATTGTGTGACGGTAGCGCCTACTCATCCGTTACCCTATACTAACAGAAACTCAAGCGCCGGTGCCGATCGATTCCCGTCTGCGGCTGCGCTTGCGCCTATAGTGTTGGAGCGCTATTGCAATTGTATTGCGTCGACGCGCGTCACGGCGAAGTCTGAACGCCGCCTTAGGCTTACTATACTGTAGACAGTCAGAGCGCATGCACGTCGTCGTTGCAGGAAAGACGGTAGAGCGGAATGGTCGCACTGCTGTGCTGCCCCCTGAGTGGCAACTAAAAGTGTGCAAAAGTTGTAAAGGATCTATAAAAAGAGAAACGAGAGGAAAGAGGTGAGATAAACATTATGGAGCTATTCGAACAAGTCAAAGGGGTGAGGAATGAGGATCTTATCTACTACGCCAAGCTACTGAGAAGAATTCAATAATCTATTTGAAGTTGTGAAATTACCCTTTGCAACGCCGTAAATTGGAAAATGTCTGTTGTGATTTTGAATAACTCAAACGCTTTGCACGAAAATGCCCCACTCTACTGGAATAGCGTCCACGATGACATGTAACAAGTAATTTCGAAAACCAGAATGAGCTCAAAAACACGTTCAGTTAGTCGGAGAAGTATAGACGATCATTTAGTGCAATAACAAGAGAGAAAACGCTCTGATCTCTCTCCAGAAGTACTTCAGAGCAGCACTACTGGGAAGATATTCGGGTCGAGTTTAACTAGCATACATATGAGGTAAAGTTATCACTTTAAATTCGAAGCTCTCGTTGAACCTCAGTGACGAATGGGTTCGAAGCCATCGCAGAACCAACTGCTAATCGACTCCACTGAAGATCGAACGGATCCTCAGCACGTGGAATCGGTGCTACTGGTACAGGATCCCACTGAATCGACTGCCCGAACACATCCAATGCTGGTCCAGGACCAACAGGCAGGGGCTGAAACATTATCCACTGGATTTTAATTTAATGTTAGAGGCACTTTGAACAACCACACCATAAAACCAACTAAAAAATAAAAGAGCAAACTTTCCGCATTATTTATACCATTTTCACTTTGAATTCACCACTCTTTCAGAAAAAATTCACCACTTTTCAAATCAAATTCACCACTCTTTTTAGACCGGGCAATTCATCAACCAGATCACGCCAGACACCACTGCGAGCCCCGCCCCGACGGCCACGCCTACTTGTCAGCGCGGACATAGATTTTCAAATCTTGTTTCATAACTTCTGCTTCTGTGACTTTTCTTGTCTTTTGCTGTTTCGCACATTCACTTTGACTGGAAAAGACTGGACGGTCGACCAATATGAAATGCGACTTTCCCTATTTTGTTTTTTTTCGAAAGAGTTTGGTGAGAATTTGGAACTTTCATAATTTTTTTTTCCAATTTTTTTCAACTTTTAACTTCACATCCACTCTTCACAGAACTGAGGCATAGAGGCTCATTTGTGCACCGACACATTAGGCTCCGCCACCACGCCCACTTGCTTTTGCGGAATTTTGGTATTTAGAATTTATGCATTGTGGCACTGCTGCATGAAGTCCCAGCCCACTGTGAGAGGCTTCAGCGCCCTCTTCGAAGAAGGCTCCGTCCGACATTTAACCAACTGCGTGCAATCGCAGTCTATGGAGCTTGGCTTACATGCTAGGCCCGTCAGCTACGAAACACCAAAACAGGAAAGTTTGTTAAGTGACCGGACGAAACGACATAGCTTCTCCGAAAGTGGCGAGGCCTCTTTAACGCGCGGGTAGGGGCTCAGTAGCAGCCCGAAGAATGCAAAAAATTTGAAAACATCTAAAATTCCAACCAAAAGCAAGTGGGCGTGGCCAAGGGGCGGTGCTTAAGTTGCCAGTGCATCGCGTCTACGAGTACCTCCGTTCTGTGAAGAGTGGATGTGAAATTGACAATGTTGAAAAAATTATGAAAAATTCCAAATTCCCAATAAACTCTTTAAAAGATGGGCGGAGTCGTTCATCTGTCGACGTCCAGTCTTCCGTCAAAGTGTATGTGCAAACAGCGCAAAAGACAAAAAACATGTCATAAGAGCCAGAATTTAAATTAAAAAAATAATGGAAAAACCGTCCTGCAAATCGATCGGTTGATGAAATTGAACGACTCAAAATGTGTGGTGAATTTGGTTCAAAAAGTAGTGAACTTGGTTTGAAATGTGGTGAATTTAAAAAGAGAATAGTATATATTCTATCTCATCTCTTCAAATGATCACTATCTGTAAACTCACTCCACGAACAACAACTTCCTTTGTTGGGAGAGGTGGAGGAGGATGAGCCGGAGGTGGACCACTAGCGATTGTAGTGTCAAATAGAGAATAGTTTGATGCTTCAGGCTGTGCTGAAAGGACAAGCTGATTCTTCTCAAAAACTTCCATAGAATGTAAACAGCAGCTCACAGACAGCAACAAAGCGCTAACAAAGCACTCACCCTGCCAATTATGAACCCCATTTGTAGAAGCCATCGGCTCATCCATAACAGGTGACATCTGAAAAAAGTAATAAAACCGTCTTCTTATGGGGACATTCCAGCATCCAATCAAGACATGACCACGTTGCCAGCAAATAGTGAATAGAAATCACCTCACTAAGACTACATTTTCCTCTGCTATAAGTGAACATCACTCGGCACGGTCTCAGTCACTCTCCGACTCCGAGCTGTTCATATGGCAGCTCGAGAGGAGCAATAGGGAGAAGGAGCGCAGAGTCTGATGGAAACTGTTACGCCATTACTGGGAAGAGCGTACTTGGTCGCTGGGGAAGCAGTACTCCTTTACCCTTGAGGGGAATTTTCCGAGCTGCGAAAAAATTCTTGGCTACAGCTGACCTTCCTCGGTTTTTCCCATTTGATGTTAGCTGCATAGTGCCCTAGTTGCCGCAGCCGCAGAACTACCATACCGCTATTTTTTTACTGATAGCTGGAATTAGTTAAGCTTGACTTTGGTTACTCTCACGGAAGAACCGCTGAAGAAATTTGAGTAAGAGTTAGTAAACCAACGCGAATAAGACTTCCTGGGCTCAAAAGTTTTAGCAAAAGTGGATTGCCAAGCTGTGATGCAAAATGGGTAGGGTTTAGGTTATGAGTATTACAATGTTTCGTCATGTCCAGCAGACATGGGGCAATCCAAAATATTAATGGGCTTTCTTGGCCATACTAAACTTACCGGGGAGGGAGAGTTGATAGTTAGCGATGTCCGAAATGCATCTTCTAGCCATTCGTCAGCTTTAGATCGAGAAGATGACTGAGATGTCGAAGTTATCGGGTTCCTAAACAAAAACTCTTCCGATGAAAAATCCGTTGGCCTTACACCTCCATAGACGTTTCTTTCCGAAAAAATTCGCAAACAAAATAAGGAAAATCTTACCAACTAGTGTTGATGTTTATTTGCGACAATACACTCGGATCATTGAATCCATTCGTTAGAGAAACAGAGGGTGGTATGGCACTGGTAGGTGCCACAGAGGAAGAAGTTGCCCATTGTCGGTTAGCAGCAAAATCCTGCTCTACACCTCGCTGAGCCATTTTGGTGGGTGAAGTTGTCGACGGATTCACACCTAGTCCAATCAAATCAAATACGTCGGTTGATGGGGCGGCCGCTGATGCAACTAAACAGCTTTATTTAATTTGAAACTTTTAGCGACAATGAGCATAACAAATTACAACAAACAAGAAAATCGCTATATTTGGCAATTGTTGGGAGCAGTGAATCACCCATGTGGACGAAGTTTTCAATAGCGTCGGTGGGTGAGGGGGGGGGGGGAGTCAAGCGTATCATAGTATGAAAGTCCATTCAGCAGTGATAGATAATGATAGCGTGATATAGTGAGGTTGCGAAAAACTGGTGAAATTAGAATTTATAGACTATAATGCTGTAATGTAAATGTAAATAATGATCGCGGCAAAAAGGGCGTAGCTATTTGGGGTTTCGCATCCAATGAGATGTACTTGTGCAGTGGGTAGCTGTAGTGGGCGCTTCGCACAAGAACGCAAAAAGTCGCTTCGCCTTGCCAGTCTTATCCTTAATAATACC